AGAGCTATTAATAGCCTTATTTTTTCAGCAGAAAGCTGGCTAAAAATCCCCCCTTTCCCTGCTCATTTCCTCCCCACCCTCCACTCTGCAGAATGCCATGTACTGTGACAGATCTCTCATAAATGTATTTTAGCCCCGAGCAACCACATTTGTCTAATTATACTGTGACTTGTGTAGAATCAACAAGTAAATACCCAAAGGCAGCGAGGTAGGCCTTGTTATAAGCACGTTATAAGTCATTCTAAACATTAAAACATTGAAAAAATCTTCATGTGAGACTTGTCGATAACCCCCTCTGTGGCTGCTTGACTGCTTGGCTGGATCTTTAATCAATTATTAGTTCAAACCAGACGTCACACATGGCGAGACCAGCTGTAATTTTTGTGTCATCTGGTTTCACTGAGAATCATTACAATGTTCTTTAACCAAAGGATCCCACAAAGATTAACCTAAACTACAGCTGCTTGGCTTTGGGAAGAGATACAGCCATGAAAATACATCAAGAAGTAGCTCATAAACACTGCTGCGCTGTAAAATTATGTGAAATATGTATTGTAATACGGTTCCTGTTCCATTGCTTTGTACACTAAGAAATGGTGGGAAAGAATCCTAAAGGTTTTGGTTTTGTGTAACACACAAAGGTTTGGCTTTAACCCGGGCATCACTGCCCCAGCTTCACAATTTGACTCTCACAACACAGTTTGACTTTCTTTTCCCTGGCCTCGGGGTATAATGTGCATTCCCCAAATTGAATTTTTGAATTTTATTTATTTCAGGATAACTCCTTGAGATGTATCATCTCATTTTCGAGGGGGTCCTGCAACATATATGTATGTACATACACAAACGTTAACCACACAGTACATATACATCGACATAAACAAAATACAAACATAGACATACAATACAATAACTCGCTCTGCTCTTACCCCCACATTTAACATAGCAAACATAAGATAAAGTACATTGACAAAATAATTAAACAACAAATGCGTCATTTATCAATATGACATATGGCATATTGGATAAAGTCACATCTCTCATAGAGAGATCAAGATAAAGAAAGTCATGATTATATATATTGTATATTTTCTACATAAACCATCCATCGTCAACTGCTTTTCCTGCGTACAGGGTCACAGGGGATCCCAGGAGGCGGGATACACCCTAGACAGGGCCACACATAGACAAACAACCAGTCACGCTCACATCTAAGGACAATTTAGGGTCACCCGTCCGCATGTCTTTGAACAGTGGGAGGAAGTATCACCTCTCACAGAGAACCAGAACTGGGAGAACATGCAAACTCTATGCATACACCACGCGCCTTTACATAAACTATTTATATGTAATACCATTATAATAACAAGAACATGTAGTTTTAAGAAAAGAAAAAGTGATGATTTGAATAAACCAAATGAGGAAATAGATCTCAAGAAAAGAGGTAACCATCCTCTTTTCTTGAGATCTGTTTCCTTAGCATTATTTGAAGAAGGTTAATAGCAACATCATACCAGCTGTGAACTTTAGTTGCATATCAAAATCATCACTTTTATTTCCATTGTTGCATTTGGGGGAACTTAAAACTTATTTCTGTGCTCTAACTGTGTGGTCTATTCTATTTAATTTTATGTAGCTTTTAACATCTCATTCTATTTTATTAATTGATTTTATTCTGCTTTTATGTCATTCTAATGCTTTTCTTTGCCTTTGAATTGCCTCTGTGTTTGAAATGTGCTATTATAAAGCTGCTTCGCCTGGCCTTATTTCCACTAATTAAACTAAACTAATGTACTATAATTTTTTTTGACTGGCTTCCTAACAATGACTGTCATAAGACTGATCATAATGTCATCATATGGTGATTAAACTCGTGTTTTCAACTTCTCTATCAGTGTTGCAGTGAACCAGATGAACAACACAGACTAATATTGACTGGGTGTGAAATGATGCTCAGACGGGTTTGGGGTTTATGTTTACTGACATGCCTGCTGAAGCTCATCGTTTAGCAGATGTCATTGTAGAATGAGGTCATGAATGAGATATTGTGATTTACTATTGTACTATTTCTTTTTATGAGAAAATGTGATTTTTCTACCTCTCAAACTGGATGCTTGAATCAGGGAAATTCATTCGATAGGCTTCGAAGACATGAATAATGTTTTTATATCATTAAGTGACACTAACTTAATTCATCTTATATCTTTATATCAATTTGGTTCAGTGTTGTGAGAGATTCATTCTTCTGCAGTGCATTACATAGCTCTTTAAAGGCGTTCTCATTTCCTCAAACTTTTCACTCTGGCTGCTGGGGACTTGCCGTTATGTCTTTCTGAAACTCATGAAATTCATGAGATCATTCTTATTTCCGGTGCCAAAGTTCACAGTTTGATGACATGTCCGCACTGTGCGTCATCACGGTCAGTTTGGACTAAATATAACCCCTCCAGTACTGACACCTTTCTGTGAAATGTTTCAGTTTGAATGATTTCTGAAAAGAACAAAACTGAACAAATCTTACAGAGAATGTCAAAACAGCTCCTCCACCCACACACAGTAACCCACATGGACACATACAGGCCTACAGTGTGTGTCAGCTTCATTATGAATACAAATAATCTCATAAATCATGCAAAATAGTTTAGCTCTGTAGCAGCTCAAAGAGTTAGGATCGTAAAACTCCTCCAAGAATATTCAGTATTTGTATTTTGTATGCACTGAAAATGAAATGAAAGGCTAATGAGAACAAAGTGTTGTTGGGCAATAAAAAAGATATACTATTACTCCTTTTACACTATGGTAGTCCATTGGATCCGATGATGACCGTCCACTGTCTGTTGCATACGGGGTGTAGGTGCAGTTCTGGCTTCATGTCTCTTAAGGAGCTTCTTTCTCTGAGTCCTCCCGTTAGCAGGGGTTCAGGCTGCACCCATATTCAGTTGGTCCTTGTTGCACATTTTCTGTCTTTTTTGGGGAGTTTTTCAGTATGGGGTCACGCCAGGTCATTCACAGGATACACTGTAGGCACCTAATGTGAAAGGCCTCAAGCATCCTTATATGGCGAGTGAATACAGTCCATGTGGTGAGGTTGTAAAGCAGACTATTTCTCATACAATCCCAAAGACATACCAAGACCAAAACCTTTCTGGGGTCCCTAGAGGCTGCGATGTTTATTACACACCACAAAACTGAAGTGTTGGATAGACCCATAAACTGTATAAAAAAAGAACGGACCAGATGGAGCAAGCAAGCAACATGTAAAGATTATCCAGATGAAAAGGCCACATCTAAGTCAAAGGGGTTCATTCCCTTATAGGTGAGACTGTTCTCAGCATATTTCACGGTGATCTTCCAGGTAAATTAAGTTATTCTGTGTGCAAAGGTGGAATTTCAGCCTGCTGAGCTCATGCAGTTCTTCAAATGGGAAAGGATAATCCATAAATGTGCTCAGTAAATGTCATGGCAATATGTCCATTATAATTATGTTGTTCACCAATATACATAATGGAGGCGCTACAGGAGTCTCCGTTCAGGACCCATGGGCTCAGGAACAGCTTCTTCCCCTCAGTTGTAACCTTGCTGAACTCTGCAATTCTGTGTTTACTGCTTTTTGCTCTTCTGATTAGATGAGCGATTTTGTTGTCTCAGTACCTGCAATGAAAATAAAGTTGAATCTAAGAAATATAATGAAAAGACCTAAAAATGTGGCAAAATGGTGATCTGATGTAAGAGATCAGGGGGTCAACAACAACACAACAAGTCAATGTGAAACTTTGACTGAACAGGAGTCTATTCACACCAAAGTTCATGGCGCTCTGGCCAATAGTTTTTGAAGACAGGTCACACAGACCGGCTGATTGACTGACAGCGCCCTCCGTAGGCCCCAGAGCACCATTTAGTTTAGGAAAACTACTTAACCCCCACCCCAAACAGAACTGTACATTTAAGGCCTTATGTGAGGGATTACTTGTGTGACGGCCCCACATTTGATATCTGGTGTGAGATGCAACACACCTGAGCAGGCGGGGCCCAAGTGGCTCTACAGGAGTCTGTTTGATGATCTGACTCCCTCTTCTCCTGGCCTGCCGACTGATTCTGTTCTGTTTGGTTCACTCACACATAATACTGATCTGACAGACACCTACAATTGTATATTTTGCTTAATTAACTTATTAAAATATCTATTATTATTTTCAGACTGTGTGGTTTCCCGCTTTTGTCACTTACTGTTGAGCCAGGTTGTGACACGTTCAGGCAAATTTGAAATCAGTGGATTTCTAATTTAATTATTATTTCTTCTTATAATCTTAATGCACAGTGCACAAGAATGAATCTTGAATGAGTCTTTGGCACATCTTTGTAGAAAAAAACAAGTTTATCATAGAACAGCAACTTAAACAAATGGCCAATAAATTTGTTAGATATAAAATTATAAAAAAGCAACCGTTGTAAAGGATTAATAAACTGTAACATAACTTTAATAATGGTTAATAACTCGTTAATTAATGCTTTGGTATTATTTTTGGGTTGCCAGGTTGTGAAAAATCCCTGGACGGTTTATATCCATCTGGAAAAGGGCTGGACAGCAACTGGACCAACATCTAATTAAGGCTCAAGTCTGCAAATCTTTTTAATAAAGGGTCACGTGTTTCTCACTTTCTAACTAGCTGTAAAATTGTGGTGATACATGTTAATGAATGGTTATAGCTTTAACCTTCTAAAAGCCATCAATTCTGTACTCACAGTAGGCTGTTTATATGCAATTATAAATGTTAGTAACTAATTAATAAAAAATCAATTAATCTATCAGGTTTGCAGTTGTTAATCGGTTTTATAATGATGGGTTTTGACTCCTGATGCTAGAGACGAGGCTGGAATACCGTTCGGGGAAAACTGGTTACTCCCGTTGTAGCCACAGACCATTTTATGATCCTGTGAGTCCACACGGGAAGCTGGTTCCCCTGGTCACCTCCTGCCTGCAGGAGGGCGCTCTCAGCTCACTTCTCATGCTGTTGAGTTGGAGCGTGCAGCTGCAGTCCTCCCTGTCCATTTTTTCAATCCGGACATCCGTCCGGATTACCCACACAGTAACCACCAACTGGAGAACTGCCGCACTGTGAGCATCACACCATCAGATCCGCACAACATGGAGTACTCTATCCGTGCAGCCAACGTGGAGGACTGCAAGGACATCGCGCGGATGATCTTGGTGAGGACACGTGTGCAGCTAAAAATGACTCGGAAGACATTAAGCAGCCCATGACTCACAGGCTTACGTCAGGAGACCACTCCATGTACAATGTTGTTGTTAGTAGATTGAGATATTTTTTAATGAACTGACGGCAGTGGTATCTTTATAGCGCACGCGCACTAGGAGTGCCACTTTTAGGCTACAGTGCAGAGGTTAATAAGCAGTGATGTTATTTTTATTTGTTCACAGGAATTGGCTGAATTTGAGAAAGTGTCCCAGCATGTGAAAGTCACACAGAGAGGTAACTAAATTACGTACATTAAATCATTTGTTCTCTGACTTGACCCTAACTGTTTAAATGTATCTGACCTTCATCAAAAACAAGATGAGATTCAAGTGAGGCCAGACAATATCCTCTTACAGGTGGAACGTGCATTCTGGACCTTGGAAAAAGCAGGTGGCTAAACAGCCTCACCACTAGGTCCATTTAGCAGCTGTTCTGGAGCTTTTGATCAGATCACACGATCTTCCTGAAGAGATGGACTTTGCCAAGTTGTCATGAAATTAGACACTGAAATTTCCGTTTTTCCTGAGCGTGTTTGGGGCTCTTCCTCCATGTTTGCCCGTTTATTCTTGAAGATGGTGAACTAAGAAGATTATGATTGAAAGCTCCAGAACAGCTTCAAAACGGACATCGGGGTACAATCAAAAGCTACTAAATGGACCTTGTTGTTGAGGTTGTTTGACCACGGGACGTGTGAGCTTTGGAAATTTCAGGAGAAACTATTCAGCTTAATAACACATGTGAGTTAACAGTGTCTTTGTATTTTATGTTAAGACTTGGAGCAGGACGGCTTCTCCAAGAACCCATTCTTCCACGGGATCATCGCTGAGGTGCCCGAACAGCAAAAAACCAAAGAAGGTGAGGGAGAACCATCAGTAACGCTGTTTAGTCCACTTTTGAAGCAATATCTTATTGCTATGCATATATTTGCGCATATATATGCATAGCCATGAGAGTTGTACAGATCTTTACTTTCATACAAACTAAACAAAAGATCACAAAACCCTCTCATAACCAAGAATCATTGTCTTAAAATCACCCGTGGTACAAATTAACAGCAGGTAGTTAAACCACATCTATGAAGGCGAACACCTTATTGTTTGGGCTGTGGCCATAAGTACATGCTTTAACTTGTCAGACCAGAAATTGCAGTGCAGCATTTAAAAAAAAAATGTCCCTTGGCCCTTCAGCCAAATGGCAGTTACAGTTGTTTGAGCCTTTTTCCATGCTTATTTAAATAAACCAAAATTATGATTTCAAAATTTTTTTTAGATGGAAATACTATTGTTTTGTCTCATCTTTTATGTTTGCTTTTTGATAAGTTTGCTACTATTAAATCGAGAGGGGAGACAGTTGTAATGTTTTGCTACTTCTTAAGGAAACAATTCACCAAGAAGTGACATTGGTTGCTGGAAGACCTCGACTCAGATATCTCAAGTTGTTATGACTTGTTAGTATTTCATCAACTCTTCTGAGTTTTGATTTCTCTTTTCTCAGATCACCCATATTATAACAGTTTTTAACTGTGTAATTTTGAAAAAACAGTATTTATTAGTTCTGGTACCTAATGTAACGGCTTCCTGCTGATGTGATCTTTCCCCTTATACACCACTTACATAACAAGACTAACGCCTCAGAATACGGTAATGAGACCATTAACACGATGTCTGCTGCCCAGCTGGGCCTTTTTCTTCCATGACACAGCCCTTTTTCCATATAATCACCACTCTCCTACTTTCCACTGGCCTCAGATATCTTACTCCATACTGAGGAGTGAATGCCTGTGTGTGTTTGACTTGGTTCACCTAGATATCCCATGACTCTCATAACATAACATTCATGACCAACTTACATTTGCGTGACAGGATACAGATTAGTGGACAGCTAGAATCAGCCTAATAACCACACAGAATTGAGGAAAGATAAAATATCGGTGGCTTCTACAGGTTAAAAAGATGTTAGCTTGTGGTTGCCATTCTGAAAGATAGCCACTAGCAGCAATTACTTAAGTTATAGCAACACGAGCAACTGAATATTACTGAAATCCTTCTGGGTGTTTATTGCTGCAATACAACACAACATACGCTGCAAATGTCAGGATGTTCTGGTAGAGATCTTTAAAGGGATAGTTTTGAAGTGGGGCTGAGGTACTTATCCATAGTCAGTGGATAACCTGCAGTAGATGGCGGTCCCCTCCCCAGAGTGTCCCCTCTATGGAGAAGCAGAGAGTCGTACCGGCAGGGAAGCTAAGCATTGTACTGCTGTGGACTGGGTGTGTAAGAATAATTAAGTTGGTGGCTGAAATATGTTTTGCTGCTGACTCTGTTCCTAGCAGAAAACAACAGGAGGTCTAGCTCATACAGCCACACTTCTAAAATCCTGAACTATCCTTTTAATGCTGCACTAGTCAATATTAGGGCGGTGCAATTAATCAAATTGTATGATTTTGGTTTCTAACAATTGTGAAAACAAGATAATAGATATAAAACAATTATTGTGCCTCATTCCAATTCACAATGATGCTTACAATGGTGGCTCCTGCCCCTTCCCTAAAAGCTCTCTATTGGCCTCTCTTCTGTTTGTTCAGCTCGAGCTAAGATGACCAACGGTTATAACTGCTGTAACTGCTGCAGCCTGCAGCCTTTTATACTGCATAAATTAGCCTAGCAGCTATTGAATGTTCCTCTAAATTACATATTATATATACTTATTTATTCTTTTCTTACTCACCGTTGGTTTAAATAATGGCATGTCCCGACAAAACACCACCATTGAATTCCAGCATTATGTAACATAACGAGTAGTACTCGAGCAGCTCCCCTGTCACCTGCTTTGCCCGACTCTGTGTAAACACACACACGCACACACATGTCAACCTGGGCAAATAAATATATAATAATAATAATGCTGGATTATTATTTCTTATTTAATGGGCTTTGGGATTTTAAAAGCAATGAAGCATTTAATTTCAAAAGTTCAATAAATGCATAATTCTTTCCTTAGTCAGTGAGTTAAATGTTAAATCACCCTGATGTTAGTATTGACTAAAATGATTGTGATTATGATTTGATTGACCATAATCGAGCAGCCCTAGTCAATATGTATAATAGTGGGTCAAATGTCAACAGCACTGCAGTTCCCTCAAACCGTAGGGATGGGGTACGATAGCCAGCTAGTAAAGTTGGTAAAATAACATTATTGAGTAATTCATTCACATTCATCTCTCTTTTGCCTCTTTATGTCACATCTGGCATCTGCAAAGAAACAAAATTGTGACTTACACAAATACTTGCTAACTCAGCAACACAGTTGTTAGCCAGCCGAACTGGCCCAACATGACGGACCACCTTAACTTTAACGTTTAGCGTCTTTAAGCTCATTGTTTTGGTTTTACGACCAGCAACTTTACTGTTTTGGTTCAGTCTCATCAACCTTGTTTATGTTTTTACCAAAACATGTTTGATAAACCCACTGTATGCTAAAAAGCTAATAGACAAAGTTAGCAACGAACTTATGAACATATTTGGTCATTTAGCAGCAATTAAAGAGCCAAAAATGTCCCTTGGCAGATGGTGGAAACCAGACCAGGCATGAAGAAGAGTGACTATTGGAATTTACAATAGACCTATACAAGGCAAATGAATATGTGTAACATCTGCTGGGTGTATAAATAGGCAATTGTTAGCTATCACATTAGACATATAAACTTTATATCCTATCCTAATAAATCAGGACTGATTGTTTTACTTCACTTTTGTAATATAATGGCTTCTGAAATATAAAAAACACAAAATGTTTAGGGAATGATACGAGGGTATTCATATAACTCAAATAAACTGCTGACTACCAGTTGCTGTTTCATTGATTTCACATTTTTGACTGTTGCTTTCAGGTCATACGAAGATAGGCTATGCACTTTACTTCTTTTCCTACAGCTCATGGTCGGGCAGAGGTGTTTATATGGAGGACTTGTACGTGATGCCAGAGTTCAGAGGTACAGAACACTGCCTCAAACATAGACATGCCGTTGTTGATATGGAGTAAATATAATTTGTGAAAATGGCCTGGAGAAAATAAGCCGCAACATCATAAAAGACTGTATGTACATTAAAACTCAAGTAATACGTGGTGCCTGTCTTTCAGGGAAGGGCATTGGTAAAGCACTTATGAGCAAGGTTGCACAGGTGAGTAAAACATCAATCCATTATTTAACTGTGACAGTTAAGGAGTGGAAATGTACTATAGACGCTGAACCCTTTTCTCTGATATACAAAGGAAGTCTTCTTCTTTTGCACTGTTACAAAGGAGCTTGCATATCTTTGTGAAAATCTCCATCCCCTCATGTCTGTCTTCCTGCTTCATTTCGCTGTCTTGTAGCTCGGCATGGCTGCTGGCTGCACCCAGCTCAACTTCACCGTCCTGGACTGGAACAAATCTTCTCTGGACTTTTACCTCAGCCAGGGCTGCTTTGATGTCACCACCGACATGGGTTACCACTGTATGCGCTGTGAGGGAGAGGCGCTGGAGCACCTGGCCCAACCATAAGCCAACACTGGGGATGACCTTTGCAACTCTATGAGGTCAACCCACACAGAGCAGGGATAGCGCAGCACTCAGTAGCCCCGTTCCAAAACCTGACAATGACAATCGTGAAGCCAGATTCTTAAAAAAATGATTATTACAATAACTGACTGCTTGTTAAGCGCTACACCCCCAGTGTTGCTACACCTGTCAAGTTTTCCATGCTAGCTCATCATATACAGTTAACAATAATAACAATGGCGGAGTTAGCACCTGAAATTCTTGGTCATTTTTCAAACAATGGATCTTCAATTTCCCATAAAGGTAAACAAAAGCAGGCTTCTCATTTATAGATAATGATAATGTAAATTTTGTCGCCTGAATAGCAACAGCCGGCAGATTTTATTAGCAGTAGTTAGCTAGCATTAGCTATTTAGCTGACTGATGCTAAAGCTAGGCAAGAAGTCAGCATCCTTAGGGGAGAGCGGGGTGAGTTGAGCCAGTTTTTACTTGAGGTGTCTTTAAAGTGAGGACATGACAGTGATGCCTCCAGCTAAAATATGTACATATATTTTAGGATGTGGTGCATCCCTGGGAATGATCAATTTGGATCTAAAGGAATCTGTTTTCAAAATATGGCTTTCAAAAACAAAAAGGGGACTCTTGTCTCAACTTGCCCCGTATGAGGGGATGAGTTGAGCCACATGGGGGTCGGGGACATCAATGGCATTTTATCATGCACTTTCAAACGCCAGGTCCCAACATTTAATTGCACTTACATAGTGAAACATTGCAGCTATGTCTCCTGGTTGTTTCATATTGATGTATCGTTTTAAAGTCATCCTGTTGATCATCATGTCCCGTGCCACCTGATGTATGGACTTCCCATTTTTGTACCTCTACCACTGATCTGTCCAAACCCACAATAGGAGTTGAAGCCTGTCTGTCTTCCATTTATAGAAGCATGCCATGATGGTTTCCAGTCTAAGATGCATAATGTCACATCATTTTGATGATGCATGAGATGGCAATGTAAAATTACAGTAAAATAGCTGGGTAACATAGCATAGCATAACGTTACCCTGCATAAGATTTGTCAAACCTGTCTGTAATTGTTCAGACACAAGAATCAGGACTCCTTAAACATAACAAATCACTTTGAACTGCAAAAAACTGTTTTCTGATCTTAAAAGTGTTTATCACCCATTCCATGGGCCTCTCTTTATCACAGGGACAGGGTGAGTAAAATGGATGACTCCTCAAAAATATGTGGTCACACGACCAATTTTGTCTATGGTTGCCGAGAAACAAGGGGTGGCTCAACTTCCCCACAGGCTCAAATCACCGCGCTCTCCCCTATCAGCTGATGATCCATGCAGAAGACATGGAAATATAGAGCAGCTTTGTTTTTGTCTTGCAGTGTAGAGCTTGTTAGCCCTAATATTATAGTATGGTATTATATAATAAAATGTAATTCAAATGTTAACTAAAACCTGTTTTGATGCTCACTATATAAATGTGGACAAGCAGCACAGAGGTTAGGTTTGTGTTTTATGATTTTCAAACACTGTGTTTTACATGTGAAAAGGTTTTGAGGAAAAGGTTTTGAGGAACAGGAATACACTGAGGTGATTCACAAACACAAATGTGGAGTGAAAACTTTCCCAAATCCAACTATGAGCAGGACAGAACTGCTAACATTAGCCTAAACGCTGATATAGTAGCTAAGTAATGCTCAGTTACTACTTGTAATAAGCTAGGTAGCCAGGCTTGCTAATGTTTGCAACTAGAGCAGACAAACCAACTGTTAATGTATTCCTTACAATTTTGGTGCTGTTGTTTGTTTGTTTTGTTTTTTATTTTGTTTGGTAAGGCTAAAAACAAAAGACACAACCCGCCAAACTCTTTATATACGAGGTACTGTTCTTACCACATCCTCACATACACCGCTTCCCCATGTGCCTGCTGTGCCTTGTTATGGTTCAAAAAGGGGTTTAGCAAACAGTCAATTGGCTTGTTATTCACAGTCAAGGACGCAGTTTTAAGTATTGGAATGGGGCCTATGCAATACATTTAGATCACAGAGGCACTGAAATCTGTTTTTTGTGTTTTATCCCTTGTGATATGTTATGCCAGAGCACCTTTTGATTTCAGTGTTAAATGGATCAGATAACCTAATCTCTCTGCTTAAAGTGTGAAAAAGATTATAGATTATAGAATGTGGGTATGAGAAAAGGTCAGAAAGGACTGTGCATGTGTGTGGGTTGTGGGGGTTTTAGAGAAGGTCTTGACATAAAGTAAACAATTCATCATCTAGAAATAAATATTGTTTTGCACAAAATCCAGAAAAACCTTATGCATTTTAAAGCCAAGATCTGTTTCCTTGTGTGACTGTTGGAAAATAGTGAGTTTTTCTTATCCCTTTAAATGTATTATAAACGATGGCAACAGCAACCAAAGAGTCTGTCACCTCTAGCCTCGTCTTCCAGACTCCTGTGAAGCTGTTGTAATGCACAATATTGGTATTTTCATTGTTTTCCTTCTTTTGAGCTATGTATTTACAAAGTTGTTGTGATGAAATTGTGAAGTAAAGGAATCAGTTGCGCCTGACCGAAACCTACTTCCATGCAGCCAATCAACAAACTCTTGGGTTTCAAAGAAAGAAGCAATCAGACAAAAACAACCCATCTGGTGGAATTCAAGAAATAAAAACCTTGGACAAGGCTTTGTTTGTATCTAAACCTGTCCTGTTAAAGTGAAACGGGCATTATTGTGGTCTGCATTTCTGTTTTGTATCCACTTTACTTTTTGTATCGTTTCCAGCTATTTAATGAAAACAGTCTTGGGTTGTCAGTTGTGGGTTATATTTAGTTTGTTTTCTCTCACTCTAAACAAGTAAAAACCACTGACCCTCCTCTGTAGCTTTAGCAATTTGCATTTCTTTTCATACTTTGTTTACAAAATACTTGAGTAAAGAATGTGTTGGGTTTTTTTCATCTTTGGCACATTGTGTTGTAAAATATTAATGTATGTTTGTTTCAATGTGCAAACTATACGGATTTCATCAGTGTGTACAAGTAAACTTAATGTGCTGTCATTGTGCTAGACCGCATGTGCCCAAAAATCTATATAGAGTCCAAGTGAACATGAAGAGATGTGTATAACCTCCCTTGTCTGCAACTTCCCACCATAATGCCAAACCCAGAACTATAAATTATACAACTTGTTACTCTGCTCCCAGCATGGATTTCTCAACTGTGTCGAAATCAAATCAAAGTTCAACCCTGATTCCTGTCAAATCTTTCCAATACATTTGAAGAGCAACTTTGCATACAAAAGACAAGAAGAGATACTTAAATGTTTATTCAGATTTTAGCGTGCAGGATGTGTGTGTGTAATTACTACATGGTGTAAAAGTCAAAAAGATGACCATGCTGATGTAGTGTGCTCATTTGCACAACTTTGGTGCTGTTTAGTTGTCAGGAAGGGCCTATGTGTGTACCATTCACATGATGGGATATTTCCACTGTGTTCAATACTGGTAGTATTGTGATTACAAATATTACGTGCAGTCACTGATGTTGTGTGCCAGCAGAGGCGTTTTATTGTGTTAATGTGTCGGTTTTGTCACTGAAATGACTGAATTTAAAGATGGTCACAGTTGGGTGGTAACCTTGTGAATCCAAAAAAGTGAACCTTTCAGGAAGACCATACCTTTTAGGGCTTCATAAGATCAAATAAATTCCCTCAACTCACAAAGGAGCATGAAATTCCTCATCTAAAACATGGAAATCACAAAATAATGGATTCATAGGTTTTTCATGTGATCAGCATGCCATAATTTCACCCAACTGGCCACAAAAAGCACCTCCAAAGTTAAGTGTCATTTGCTGTACCCAAGATAGGCTACATAAGTGTCAAAAAGCCACGTCGCCTTTAGCCTAGAACCTGCATGAGAGTCAGTGTTGGTTTCACAAAAGTATTTTAGGCTTCCTGTTGTTCCATTCTTGAAAACCAAGAGTGTGTTTTACTCGTATTTACCTGTACACTTGTTTGACTGCTCTGTTCATTTGACACTGATGAATAAAACCTGTCAGACTGCAGTTACATAAAGTGTGTTGCGTGAATGTGTAGCTGTGTTGACTCCACGACATAGTTCCTTCAGTCTGTGAGTGTTCATTAGTTAATAATGGGGTTTTCCAAAACTTACTAAAATGTAGATCTGATATTTGGAAAAATAAATAAATAAATAGTATGAACTTAAAAATATAAATAATGCTTATCGAAGGTGAAATAATGGTCAATATGCAATTACATTTTACCTATGGGGGGCCTTCTAATACTAACTGTTCCTTTAATCCCAATAAAGTGTAAAAATAATTAAGATCAGATAGAACTTTTGTCCCAAAGATGCTCAATGTGTACATACACTGTAAAGTAAATAATACGTACATAGTAAAATGCAGTAAAACATAAATGTGCACTATTTGACCAAAAGGAGGAAGAAATGCAGGGTCCTAGTGGTGGGAAAAACTGTACAGAAAAGGTGCATCAGTGTTACAAAATCAACCATAATCCACCAAAATATGAGTTATGTGAAAGATGTGAGAAGGATTGGCTTTTGCTTGATAAGTCACCTCTTTGCACAACTTAAAGGAACCCTGTGGAGTTTTTGACCACTAGTAGCGCTATGGAGCAGTGCTGTACACGTGTGAACCAACAAGACAGCTAGCAAACAAACATGGATATAAACAATGTTTATGTATGTTATTCTTAGAAATAATGGTTTTAAATGTTTGTTTGTTTGTTTGTTTGTTTTTTGAGGACTCAAACAGTAAATGTAAACATAACTTTAATTTTTTATTTTTTTTTAAATCCATAGTGTACCTTTAATTACCTGCACTAAACAGAAAAGTAAGGTGTGTCTTTCCAGGTATAACATAATAATTTCAGGTATGTGTTAAACTTTTGAGAGGGTCTGGTTTCTTGTTATTGTTACATCCAAGCTGCTTTTTAAACAATATATTATAATTACGAGGTCACAAATTGGATTTAGTTAAAAGCTTTTCTTTATTCATGTTAAATACTGAAGGAAAGGGAAATTCACTTAACTGTGCAACCTGTCACAAGGGGTCACAAGGAGACATGGTTGGGAAACACTTCTTTAGAGACATCATATGACCTTAATGCCAAAATATTTTCCAGTTTGAATATATGACTTTTAAATTGATTTAATTTTACCCCTGAACCAATAAAAACATTTAACACTTTAAATTAATTTATAAATGTGTGTGATTTTTACTAATTTATTTAACTGCCTCTGCCACCTGTCTTCACAGTTTATGGTGATGTTCATTTCACAATAAATGTGTCTTGTTTCCTGAAAGATTTTCTTTTAGACTTTAAATTAAGAAACTGACCAGTGGAATAAAAATCAGTCTGGCTCACCTGTTGATTGCAGAAACAAACGCATCATCGCCAGCAGGAGCGGGCTGGTGTGTCCTTTACACTACAGCCACCGTGTGGTTAAAAACGGGACTGCTACACGCGTGAATTGCACATATTTTCAAGGCATGCAAGTTGATGAAAGTGACTTGAGACGCAGAGGAAGTCCCGGTGCGCCTCGTATGTTTTTCTCGCGCTCACCTCGTTAGTTTTTCACGGCGGATGCACGCTGGTATCGCAACATCAGAGCTTGTTGAGGACGCACGGAAAGTTCACCTCCAAGTCTGTGTATGTGTGTGTGTGTGTGTGAGAGAGAGAGAGAGAGAGAGAGAGAGAGAGAGAGAGAGAGAGTTCATGCTGATGTGTGCTCAGTCTGTCTAATAGAGTGGCCCCCCAGCACGCTGTTTAAAGGGAAGACAAGAGAGCTGAGTCAACGAATCACAAGGAGAAGGATGCAACAGTTGATGTGCGCGAGTTGCAGAGTTTTCTTTTATCTGACTGGCCGCACACGCGGATGGTGGCTTTGATCTGTGTGGAGGAAGGATCGGATGTTTGGTTTCTTTAAAACCCTATCATCTGTCAGATAAACCTCCAATTAAACGGAAAGATCTGCGCATCTAAAAAGCAGTGAGGGCTAGTTGTAGGCTGTCTACTCGCGCACCTTGCTTTCGAAAATGGACATTTGGACAGAAATGCATTTGGAGGGACTTCATGCTCTGCTGGAATGGAGTTGAAGTGGGGATTTCGGATGGTCTGCGGCGGCGAGTAGCAGTGCAGTCTGCACCAATATGCATCGTATTCTGCAGAGGAGGCGAGTGCGCAAGCTGCGGGTCGTCTGGGCTTCTCTGGCCCTGGTGGCTCTGTCCCTGGCCGCATGCAGTGCGCTGTTTACGGCGTGGACTTGGCGAGAAACGCGGGATCTGTCTCAGTCCTTTAAGATCCTACAGGACCGACTGGAGCAGGTTTGTATCATGCCTGAAAACCAATCAAGCCTGCAGACAGCCCCTCTCCGAATAGCATGCATATTTGTCCCAACAATAATATTTACTCGCCTGCAACTATTACAGACCTTCAAGTGTTTGTTATGTAACTTCTTTTGTGGCTGCGGTTAAGGGGAACCGTCGCGGGAGGTCTATATAGAAAAATGTCCACCCCCCCCCTCCCGCACGTACTCTATTGCACCATTGCTTGGTACTTTTATTGTATACCAATAAGTGTAGTCAAGTTGTGTGGCGTTACTGCTTATTTTTGTGTCCAAGTCCCCTTTGCTCCCCCGCAGTGTTTAATTGCCAGTTGTGCTCCAGTTTTATCTCAATTTACTGGAAAGCCTCAACTATTTGGCATGTGAGCACGTTAAACCCAACTGACTGCAGAGAGGCTCCAGGCGTGAAACCGACTGCATGATGAAGTGTGGCAAGTGTAAATCATTTGCAACATAGCCACCTCTCATGCACAGGCCAGGGTCATTTCAATTGTTACATGTGCAGAGAGCAATCCTAAATCCTGAGCCATCTCATGCAAAGTGTTTAGAAACGTCTTGCACTAGCAGGAAATGTTAGACTCCCTCCAGCATGAGGTTGCATCACAAGGCAAATTATTTCTCCAAAAGCAGCCAAAAGGAGCTGATGGAAATTCTTCTGGTTTCACAGTATTTACAAAACCAGGTTGCACTGGATTTGAGATCAGGGGGACAGGTTGGCTGTGCATCATGTTGACAGACCTGCACACACACACACACACACACACACACACACCGTTTCTCCCTCACTCACACACATACAAACACCCCAAAATTGGACACGTGGAGTGTTGATGCTGGAGCCTTTCCCAAGGGGCCCTGATCTGTCCATTTGACCGTTGGCCAACTTCTGATGAGAGCCAGTGAGTGAACGTCTGGAGAGCGAAGAGAAACTCGCTGCCTCCATTTCCACGGTAGCAGTACATTTAAACATACATTCCCTCAGCCACTTCTCCTCTTACTTCATATAGGCCTCCTTCGGTCATTCAGTGGGCCCCCAGCCGAGGATTTAAAACTTTGCTGGCTAGACTAAATTTCTTTCTTTCTTTCTTTCTTTCTCAGAAAGGGAGTTAAGACATGTGAGGAATGCAAAGCCTTTAAAACATGCATTAGGTGTCGCAACCAGTCTCCGAGGAAGTGGTAGAATTATTCTAAAGCAGGCATGGCAGCAGGGGCTGGATACTGGAAAAGACGAGCCTGTTTATGTGGCTGGCTGGCTGGAAGAGGCCTTCTGTGGCTGTGTGGGATCGGCGCCAGAAAAAAGTCATAATAAGCTTATTGGACGTTTGTTAATAGTGCACGCTTTTTCTCTCTCCCTTTCAACAGGTCAACACACAGAGGAAGGCCATTGTTCAGCTCATTCTGGAGAAGAGAGAGCTGTTGGTGGGGCAGAGAGTGAAGAGAGATGGTACTGGAAATCAAACGTCATTTTCTTGACTTCAACAACACCGATATACAGAAGTTGTGTGCTTTTTAGCCGCCACAAATCACCACAGACACAATACCTACCAACTGCACTCTGTTGTTTTTTTTTTGGGAAGAACATTGAACACACGCTGGCCAGTCTTGGCCCGCATGCCACTTTGGTCAGGTCTAGCGGGCCGCAGGCACTACCCGCTGCTAAAAGTTGACACAGGAAAAAGTAGGCAGCTGGGTGACTGTTTCAGAAATTACAGGTCTGACCAGAACGGCCTCGAAGCCCAGAAAACCAGCTGGCGCGGGGGCGAGGCCTTGTTGCACGCTTTTGGGCAATGAAATTGATTTTTTCCCCTCCCCCAGAGCACACGACCGACACAGCTATGATTTGTTGTGAAAGCGGTGATATTTGATGACCTATCATTGCAGTATTTATATCCTCTGCTTGCGTCACCATCACGGGATTGCTTGATTGCTCACATTTTGTCTGAAAGTGAACCCTCGGGCGCCTTTGTGCTGGATATCAGCGGAGGGACGAATATCCAAATTTGACAAAAGGATTCATTTAGAGAGCTGCATGCTGCGCCAAAAATATCTATGTTGATATCCTGCAGATATTTTATTTTTCTTTAGTAACTGATATCTGACTTTGTCCTCCAAAACATATTAAACAGTGTTCAGAAATTCATGGCTATCAATGATTTTTTTTAAAGCCCAAACAGCCTCTTCCAGTTTGTGGAAAGTTGACCACCGCGGTGCAGCGCTCCAGCAGGACACTGCTGTTATGTTCTCTCCTAGTGACTGACAGCTTAAGTCAGGAAACTCTGGCCAGCCTGAGGGCTTTACGCTCGCCCATAGCAAATCCTAAGTCTACAGGGTCACCCACCTGTGAGTTATTTTAGCAGGGACTTAATATTTCTGTATGACGGCGGGGCCCGGTGTTTGGCTGCTCTGTCTCGAAACATAAAGTATGCATTTCACAGTTCATACATACAGCATTCGAGTCAAATCTGTGTTCAAAATCGCTCCCCTAGGCCAGATTGCAAAGCTAAAATAAACCTTTAGTGAGTAACAGGAGCAGGCATTCTGCAGCTCTGGCCTTTTAAGTGTTGTGTTTTATTTATTGTATTTAACCGAGCAGCGGCCCGTAGCTGTTGCTTCACTCTCTTCTTAATCGTCTCCTTTGGGTCACAGAGCAGCCAAAGACCTTTTTGACTCTCTTTTTCCGGCACTTCATTTCTCTTATTCAGCGTCCGTAGCTCTCTGGCTGCATCTAACGCTTTCTCATTTACTTTCACTCCGTTTATCTTGTGTTTTCCTGCCCCCCCCCCAGCTCTCCATCCGCCTTCTCTCTCTGTATTCTGTATTTTCTAGATGACTGCGACCAGCTGGCACTAAGATTAGCCCCCACCGGGAAAAAAAGAGGCACATGCTTCTGACTGAAAATAAAAGTTTGAGGAAATATATTGAAGCACGTGAAAGGAAATCGTTTGCCCATCTGCTAATGGCGTTAAAACAAGCCAGGTTGACAATCCAAAGGACTGCAAATTAGCACACCGTGTTATTAGCCAGATACAGATGGGAATGATTGTTTTATCAAAAAACCACAGACATATTTTCTCTGCCATCCAAACTCATACTCTGACTCTCCTTGCCTTCTGAAGGGGGGGCGGCGCGAGGGAGGAATGGAAATGGAAAGAAAGCGGCGTCTCATTTTGAGAGTAAGTGGCTTGACAGATCCCATATAGCCGTCTCGTGTAGCATCTGCTGAAGTGGTTTCAATCATATACCCCTATATGACTGCGCTCATAAAATCTTAATTGACTTTCCCTTTTTCTTTCTCTTTCAATGTCTCTTTTACTTTTCCCCAGTAACCAAAGTCTCCTCTCAGCAAGGTAAGAGTCATAAAAATGAAGGATGGAGGATAATCTGTGAAAGTTTTGTTTATGAGAGGATTAATCCTGGATGTGTGTGTGTGTGTGTGTGTGTGTCAGTGGGAGAGGGTGGTGTGATAAAGGGCTGGGAAGAAAGGATGCTGAATATGAGTAAAGCAGTGAGGTACAACAAGGAACAAGGCACCTTCACTGTGGAGAAAACGGGCGTCTACTTCCTGTTCTGCCAGGTGAGTTTGGGCGGGGAGTTTTAGTTTGTCTACAGTATTGAATTACAAACCAGAATGCTCACATTCCCCACATGCCACACTTCAGGTCTAATCCCCACTTCAAAGCTGAACTAATGAAACTTTTATAACAATGGATCAAATTAATATGTTAGGAGTTGCTTGTAGTGACCACCCCACAGAGAATAATCACATGACTTCTACTCAGTTCTGCAGAGCATTTTAGCATCTTTCAGCTCATTGTTTTGGTTTTCAGGCCCTGCAACTTCAATGTTTTGGTTCACTATCACAGCTCTCATCAGCATCATTCCCAGAAGCTGCAGGCAGCTTTTTTTTAGCACAAAAAATCTACTATAAACCAAGTTTACACTACCCGCCCAGCACCAAATCAGCTATCAAAGAAAGTTAGTAACTAGCTGGTGAACATAGCGGAGCTTAAGATCCAGATATTTTCAACTAAGCTGCAGTTGGTGGAGACTAAAACAGAGCTAAAAGGAGTGTGAATATTGGACTTACAGTCACCTGGTGGCCAGAAACACAACTCCAAATTAATGCTAATGTAGTATGCAAGTTCATATGGTGACAGTTTGACTCCTTGGTGTGCTGCGCAGCGCTGACCTAACGTGATGCATGCTGGACTTAACATAAGGCATGCCGGTTGGAAATTGTGTTCGACTTTCCCCAGCGCTCCAAAACGTCACCATGTCACATGACATTAAAACCCCCTGGGAGCAAGGCGGTTGCAGGTGCCGAGTCCCACGACCTCAGTTTCTCCGGCTGCGCAAAGTTGGAACCACCTTTTGCCTGATCTGATCAGGCATTGTTCTAAGCTCACAGTAAGCTCCTGCAGGTAGAATGGTTTTTATTCCCTGCAGTCGCCTGCAGCTCAACGTTTGACTATCAAGTCGGCGAAAGTCAGCCGCTTTCATCTCGAACGCACCTAATCCGTCAGTGCTGTGTTTCAACTTGTTCCGCTGCCCTCAAGTGGACAAAAAACATAATGCAGGTTTAAATCACCCAATGCAACATATTTATTTTGGAAATCGAATCGAGATTTATATAGATATCAGATATTTATTAGTCCTATTCGAACTAGTGTACTTACTTCTTGAGGGGAAATGGTGAAGCAAACTTGACTGAACCAACAGACTCTTGGAGTGCAGGTTTAAAGATTTTTTATAAAAACAGCCTTTATTATGTACAAACATCAGTCATACTGTACTGGTATGTATCATGTTTTCTGGAGAGGTGGATATCAGGTTTCGGGTAATCTCATGTAGCCAGACTTTGGTCTCGTCAAGTTGACAGAGGTCTGGAGAAAATCTAGCCAAAAAAAAGAAAGAAAGAAAAAAATAATTACGATAGCGGGGCCTTGGAAGTCCTGAGGCAGTCTTAGTTTTTATTTGAATAGTGGAGTAGGAACAAGTTCTCCTAGAGTCTCCGCTAGCCTTTCTTGATGCGATGTAGATCATTGTCTCTGTCTCCTCAGGTGTTGTTTAATGAACAGCAATCTCAGTATGTGAAGCTGGATGTGGTGACCAGCGGACAGAGGCCTCAGAAGCTGCAATGTATGGAGGGCTATGGGACGACCCCCTCTGCCGGGCCACACCCTTTCCACTTCCTGAAGCCCTGCCAGGTGTCCGGCCTCCTGCGACTGGACAAAGGCACTGAGCTGCAGGCCATCACAGGCCCGTCCTTCAGACTCCAATCTTTGGGCAACCCCTCAGCCTCGCCTCACGTGTTCAGCATCTTTAAAGTCAACTGAAGTCTGGGATCGTTTTGTACACAAACTCATCTGAGAACAACACTTGTTTTTGTATGGATGAGATTCTTTTCTACACGGTAAAACAGTCATAAGCAGTCGTGGGCATCACATCGTGCCACAGCCTCTTCCCAAAGACGTTTATTTGAAAGACAAACCTGACATTTGTGGAAGTTGTTGTGGAATTTTTTTCTGGACAGCAGTGCTGTTTTGGAATGCAAAAAACAGACTTTTGGATTAAAACAAGACCCAAAGTGGACGAAATGCCTCGATGAATGTGTGCCGAGAGAACAGATGTGATGGAAGCTGTTCTGTAGATAAATGGCTTCATATAAAAAGAAAAAATACTTGGATGTTCATCTTAGCCTTCGTATCATGTAATAAATTGTGCTTACCCTCTCTTTATAAGACTGACAGTAAAGCTGTGCATGCACCTTCCACTTTTGTAACACCGGTGCCTCAAGAAGCTGAGAGCACGTCTGCAAGCATCAGATCTCAACACTATCAGCAGCCTACATGAGTTGTCAATGATATTTTATATAATGCAGTGTCTGTGCATGTATGTGAAATTTAATGAATCAAACAAGTCTTGATTATACTGATTTTATGATCTTTACAATGCAATGTGTGTGGAAGTACTGCAAGCTTTTTCTTTTAAATACGTTGTATATACTTTACACATATTTTTATATATGTGCATATCAAGTCAGGAGCTGGCAAAGAAAAGGGAACATTTTAAATAACATGGATGTGAATTTGTGCTCTTTTGTGCGGTCAGATTTGTAAGGTATTTTCATGTACCGTTTTGGCTTTACAGTTGGAAATTAGTTGGAAGTTATAGTAATCAGCGCGTACAACTTTAAATACAGCAAAGTTTCAGCATATTTTCGGCCTTTGTTATCTGTATGATGACTCGATAATCACTTTCAACTCATCTTGTAAATCATCAAATAATTGTCACCTTACCATTAAGAGTAATTAAATAATATTGGGGAGGCCCCCACACATCCAAAGCTATAGCTATAAGCTAAGTAAAAGTTGGTATTAAATATCACAGAGATGTTTAATTAAAAAAAGAAAATTGTCTGGTATTTTCTGATTTTGTGACTAATAGAGCGTCAGGAAAAGTCTTAATACCAGCATAGTATTAAGAAAAGTCTTGATATAAGCCTATTGCAAAACAAGAGGAAAGGTGCTGTTTAATAAGCACCAGTCTGATGTATACTGATGGAAATTTATACAAATAAATTACTCACTGAGCTAAATGATAACTTCCAGGTGCTAGCATACTCACAAAGACACTATTACCATGCTGATGTGTAGCAGGTATCATGTTTACCATGTTCACAATCACATTGTACCGTATAAGCAGGCTAAAATGTTGCTAATTAGCACTAACCACAGCTGAGGTATAACACAGGCTGATGTTATGTTGAATGCTGAATGTTATCAGTTTTGCAGGTATTTGGTCAAAAATCTACTGTAGTACTGGATCAATTAGAAAAACACTAAGGGGATCATCAAAGTCATTAGGATTCATCATCTGGGGAACATGAATGTCTGTGCCAAATTTCAATCCAAAAGTTTTTTGCCCCTCGGAGACTCAAATTTAATTAGTTTCTCAAAGTCAGAAATGAAGAGTTTGTCCCAACCAAAGCACAGCTCTGAAATAACGTGGAAAAGATCCAACCTGCACCCATGGTTCTGGGAAATTACTGTGCTGTTTATTGTCAATGGAGCAGATCTGGGTTATATATACATGTCTTGATAACCTCATAGGCAATAACTAGAATGTTCCTCATCACGTTAAGCTCTTGAGTTTAGGTTTCTCAGCCACATTGTAAGATGGTCGCTTCTTTATTTTTACCTCTTTAGAAATTAAACTTCCATTCTCTCATCTGCTGCTGCTGCTGCTTTCCGTAATATCCCCTGCTACAATACAAACTGTGTATTTCTAGCAGTGGGTTCAGCACTCCCACTCTTGTTTATAAGTAGTTTTTGTGGACGGACCACATTGGTTTCTCCTCAGCACTTTACTGCAGTGAACATAGTGTTTTTAATTGGAGCCAAACATTCATGTTTTCAAATGGAAAGATTTTGAAGTGTAGACGTTGTATCCTGTTTGATTTCCTCATCATTCTGCTCTTCCCTTTTGAGACCCCCCCCCCCCCCCCCACACACACACACACACACGCACACACACACCACATATTTCTCTATCAGCACCCATCAGACCGCATACACATACACCAGCAGCCATCGAAATGTTCACTTCCTGAATCTGAACCTGAACCACATAGCTGTAGGTCTTTGAGGAAAAACATGCGTTGTCCCTCCACACACAGTTTTACCCACTTCCCTGCCCCAATTCCTATTTTTGTAAATGTCAAAGTTTATTACCACCTTAAAAAAATCTTGTGAAGTCTTCTGAAGAAGTTCTCTGTAAAATGATGCAATGCAATTTCTTCTTAACTCACTCAGCAAAAACGCTGAATAAATGTTTTTGTGTTGTTTTTGAAGCACTATACTTTCAAATTTGTTTCATGAAAAAGCCAAGAAAGAGTGTCTCAAAAAATGAAGATGAAGGGATTAATCAGATGCGACATACAAAATATTTAAAGTTGCACTAATTAATATTATGCATTAACAAAGGGTTAAATACTAATGAATGTAAGGAGTTGCTCTGCTTATAATAACAAACACAGGGATAATTATAACACTTCTGTTCGCCTCAGATCTACAGAGCATTTTAGCATCTTCAAGCTAACTGTTGTAGTTTTACTGACCGCAACTTTACTTTTTTGTTTCACTTTCATGGCTTTCATGGGAAGCAGGTATTTTCAGGGAAATGGCTGTGATAAGTCCACTGCTCACTACCTGCCCAGCAGTGAATGGTAGACTCAAAAAATTTGCAACTAGCTGGTGAAAATAGAGCATTTAGCAGCTAAAGACACACCTTAGGAGTTGGTGGAGACCAAAACCAAACAAAAAAATATTTAGGATATTAATAAATAATAGGATTTTTAAAGGCTCCTAAGAGCTGAAAGTAACCACTGTTTATCAAGAGAAAAGATCAGCCAAGGGTGATAAGTCAGTGATTAAAACGTACTGTATATGCAATACGTTTTAATATGTGCAACAGAAATATTTTAGTCTAACCTTTATTAACCTTTATTTATTCTTTTGATCAGAGCCTGGCCAATATGTGATTTTTAAGACTGACACAGATTTTTAAAATTTGAAGATTTTAAAATCCGATATTCTGATATATCGGCCAATTTTCTTTTATTTCTTTTATATCTTCATCATTTAAAAATAAACTTTTTATAGTTATAAATAGGACAGCTGATTGCTTTTGTGGTGGTTCCAGTGTGTTGTCAGCAGGGGAGTTTCAGAGTGCCCTCTGGTGGACAAACTATGCAACGACAACACTCATAACACTCATCTTTTTTAATCGGCATTTATTGGCTATTGGTTTATAAACACTACAATACAATTTATCTGCAATTAGCTCATATTGGCCGATAATCCTGTCACACAGATTTATTGTGTGTATGTGTGTGTGTGTGTTTATCCCAATTATAACACCAGAGTGAAAAAACATTGAATTTCCCCTTGTGGGATAAATAAAGTATAACTTTTTCTTCTTCTTCTTCTTCTTCTTCTTCTTCTTATTATTATTATTGGTCGGGCTCCACTTGTGACCCCTCCGACACTGAAGTTTAACAATCACTACTGTCATAAATTCAGACAAACATAGGAGCAGTAATTTACTAATGATTGTTATATTTATCATTATTGGAATAATTGTGGCATCTTTTTAGTATATAAACATTAGGACCCAGCCCTACTGTAAACAAACGTAATCAGACTTTGTTAAGTCTGCATGTTTAATTTTCATTTGTCACAATAAATCATAGATAATGTTAATGTTATACTTCATATACTGCAGACCAATTAAGTGAATTTTACATAATTTGGGTGACTTTATGAGGTGATTGTGAACTGGTTAAGCACATTTTCAACTATTTCTCATGTCATTTTGACACTGAAGTATATTCTGCAGTGACCTGAACTAAAGCAATGTCTGCAAGTTTCCCTGATGCCTGACACATAAATGTAAAATAAAATCACGGTGCAGAAGAGTATTTACCCTACAATATATTATCTAAAATGAGCCTGTTAGTGTGCACTTAATGGGAGTTGACCTTATCTCCAGACTCTTCTACTATAGGAATAATAAAGCTGAGATAACAGTAAATAGTGAACTGTGTGGCATCACTCTGTTCTGAATGACAAAGCAGGATGACTCCTCACCTTTAGTCATCATGAATCACTAACCATCTGCTCCTCAAGGTTGTTGTGTGCGTGTGTGGGAGACAGTGTGATAAAGGTCCGTGAAGAGGAGACACTGAATCACTGCATCGCCCTCACAGCATCTTCCTGCCTCTATGGTACAGCCATCAGAGCAGACTGACAGCAGTTTATAGTCTCTGAAGACAACTGTTCTTATTTGTTCAGCGAGAGGTTAAGCGTTTTTGTTTTTGTCAATCAATTTATCAAGGAAAGCTAAATAGCTAAAAAGTTGTTTTTCTTTACACGTTTTGAAGCTGACCTGTAAAGCCTCGTCTTCTCTTGGTGACTGATTAGCTTCACTGGTTGAGAGTAAAACCCCTTGAGAATTTGTGCTTCATAAATGTTCTCCATTTTACAGCCTATTTGAATTTACAGGGTTTTTGTTTATTTAGGCTACACATTGGATCTATTTAATTTATATTTTAGTTTTTCAAAACCTGCAAAACCTTTTATATTAAGTTGAAACAGGAAATGGGACAGAGAACATTTGATATTTTTTTGCTGCCAAGCATCCACAAAGCTGCCACAAAGGAGTGAAACGAAATAATAAAGAAACTTATATTAGGTGGTATTTGCACAAATGAAGATGAAGACTAATATTTTTAAAGATATTTTAAAGTAAGGACTGTAAATTTGAAGAAGAAAATAACAATCATATTCTTACAAATGAAAAGTTTAATTCATAAGCATTAAAATTCAACCTTGTTCAATTCACTACCTTAGCCATGGTAGCTTGGGACGGCTAATGTTAGCAAACTCTTGATAGATTGCTGTATTCATCCTCTGGGAGCCATGAATGTCAATCCATCCAATAGTTGCTCAGAATTCAGCCTGGACCGTTCATGCTGTCTGTTCATAAGATGGACATAACAGCTTCCCAAAAGTGTAGCCAAAACATGTCGATCACCACTTTGTGGTTGTCTGCAGTTTGTTCAAGTGTTCATTTTCAAGTTTGGTTTTAATTAGTTATTTGATGCTATATAAACGGGCGTTCACGTCACGATTGACAGGTGAGCCCTGCTCACAATTGAGTGTATGGGCTGGACCTCAAGACTGTGGCTCCTACCCCGGTCACTACAGCACAGACTCTAGCTCCAAATGACGTCAGCAGCAGAAGATGGCAGCACCCGTATCCGGGATATTTTGGCTTCATTTTTGTACAATGGGAGGATGTGGAGACGCATCGTCCATCTTTATATACAGCCTATGGTCTGGACCAAAGCGGGGGACTGACCAACATCACCATCCCTTGAGCCACACCACTGGCATGAAAAACAACGTGTGTGAAATATAAACACCATCTGAAAAAAACCCACACAGTTCTTTTTATCATTTCATTCAGTTTTATTACAAACAAAAAAAAAGAAAGAAAGAAAAAAAAATGCATCATCATTGACGTGTTTCACTGCCACTCATCATCTGATCGGCACCACTACATACACAGTGACACAAGATACCCAGAAATTAACACAGAAATCTGGAGAGATGACAAAGTAAAAGTGGAAAAAAGAACTAAGTGCTTTGTTTTTTGACACGTTTTAGTTCAGGGGTTGCAAAACCTTTGTACAAAACAATTTGTAAAATGGATTTCCTGGGAAGATAAGTGTAAAAGGTCCGGGATTTATGGGATAAATTAACTCCTACGGTGGCTATCCTTTTTTATTTTTAACTTAAGTCAGACTGACTGGGATTTACAGGTTGACATCAGGTTCTTTATTCAGTTTGATGACTTTACATTTGTTCAGCTATGTTTATTAAGGCGTTTTTTAATGATGCAGTATATAAAATGGATTTCCAGCCTCTTATTTTCCAGATAATAACCATATATTTTCACTGGGATTAGATAGTATACATTTTCTTTTTGCTCAGAGAAGCATTTAGGGTTACATATGGCCTATTTTCTATATATGCATGTCATTTGCAAGCCCCAAATCTAAAACGTAAGCAAGAAAAATTTGTTTTCTTGTAATATATCTACCTCTGAAGTTAGCTCAACTTCTTCGTTTGCGCTCTCTTGTAATTATAGGACAAACATGGCAAAGAGGTGCATTGTGTGTCGCACATACTGTATCATTTTTCATTGTTACAAAAAAAAGGTCTCTTTTGGTAAAAGCTCTTTCTCAAATAGCAACAGTGAGAACAACAGCAACATCGACGACAATAATAATCGCGAGAGTAGAAACACAAGAGAACACGAATGAGCTGTTTAAATATGCAAAGTATATCACAGGATTCTGTAGAAAGAAATAGAAACTTGAAAAGAAAAACAGGAAAAAAGATTGACTGAGAGAGGGGGAGGGAGGAGATGACAGGAGTAGGTGTCAAGAGGAGTGTTCAGGGTGATAGATAGGTTTTAATAACACTGACTTGCTTATGAAAGGTTCTAAACATTCATAGGTTTCTGAGAAACAGCGTCGTCGCGAGGCCTTTTCTGGAACAGCCCCCCGAAATACCTCAAAGCTCTGTACATAAACTAGAACCAGGGAAGCAGGATTTGATGGCGGCAAATACTTAATCTGGAGTCCTGATTATAATTTCCATATCATACCTAGCTGAATGTGTGTTTATCTGAACATGTACCTTTGAAAAAAGCAAAACAAAAAGCTGATGCTGTGCTTGGAGCTGCTCGGACTGAGAAATCAAGAGGGTCAGCCTCTCTGAGAGAATTATAAACAGTATTAAAATGACTTTAGGCACAGCTTGCCTTTCCACGAGACAGCATTATGGTGAGTAGAGCATGCTTCAGGGGATGGAGTGCGGCGGTAGAAATAATTTTCACATGCAGCTTCCTGTCAAGAGTTTAAGGACCAGGCGAGGAGGAAGGAGGAAGGTTACACGGTCTATTGAGAGATCTAAAGGTTTCTAGGATTGAGGTGGGTTGAGCGTTGTGTGTGTGTGAGTATGTGTGTGTGTGTGTGTGCGTGTGTGTGTGTAGATGAGGTTAGAAGCATCCCAAGAGGAGGAGGAGGCCTGCCTGAAGAGGCCGCTTATGAGGAATATAATGGTTTGAGGCAGACAAGAAAAGGTCACAAGAAGTTATGAGACAATATGGCCTGTATGTAGTGCAGGTGTGCGTGTGTGTCCGTGGACAGTAAGTGCACATGTGCGTGAGTATACTGTGTGTGTGTGTGTGTGTGCACGTGTGTTGTACTAATTTTTCAGTGAGTACCAGCAGAGTAAAGTTGTAGAAGAGTTCTTGGAGAGAAACTGAAGATATCTTTGCAGCAGATGGGTTTCAGTGAGTGTATAGTGAGTGTGTGTGTGTGTGTGTGTGTGTGTGTGTGTGTGTGTGTGTGTGTGTAGTCTAGTCGTCGATACAGATGACCTCTCCGCTGCGCTGCTCCCGCCGGTTGATTAGCAGCTCTGCTTCCCGCTCCTTCTTCACAGACATGGGAGGCCCATTAAGCACTGCAGGAAGAGGAGGAGGGGGGGGGGGGGGGGGGGGGGGGGGGTGGGGGGGGACGCCACAGTTCAGTTCAGCCAGTTCAACATGTAACTTGTTTCTGTGCTCGATGTTTCTGGCACAGACTGAAAACAAAAAAAACTCTATGAAACTCTGTTCTTACACACTCACAGGAACACACAAATGCAAATACACAAATAGACAGACATCTGGCTAGAACCCCTTTTGGATAATAATGTCCAATAGGGTCAAATGCAAATTCCCTTTCTTAGCATCAAGTTTCCAAGTAATCCAAGCAGACAGGCAGAGAAATGTTTTCACATGCTATTCAAATGGTGCTATGTTTAGAATTTTTAACATCAATAAATTACCATGTTAATTCTGAGCCAATAGTCTAATTACAGAAAAATCAGACCGTGCTGTTAAATCTGTGTACTTTGAAATTTTAAAAATTATTTGAACAATTTGTAGGTCAAACACTTAACGATTTCTTCTTTTTCCGTTCAGAGCGAATGGCGCTAATGGAGAGAAATTATCTCTCCATTACTGGAAAGAATCTAGGAGACAATGTGTTTAAACCAAACTCCTTTTAAAAATCTGGGTGTTTTTAAAAGCTGTTAAGTATACTTTTTACTATATTCACTATTTTATTGTACCATTCTCTTCAGGAAATCAAAAGAGAAATGTTTTGCAGTGGAGCTGATGAGCAGGACAAGAAGAAGTAACATTCTCTGCAACCCAAAGCAAAGTTTATGGGAAATATGGTCTTAGTTTGTTTGGCCTCAGCACTAAAAATATCTCTGGTGCTAAGAGGGAACCTGCCAGTCATCTCGCTCTTGTGTATCTACGTTAATGCAACCAGGACATCATGATTAATGAATAAAAGGAACGCCTTTGAAAGAACAGTTTTGCCACGAATAAGCAAACAAACTGCACCCAGGCTTGCTGGTTGATACTTTGATAATCTTTTAATGAGCAAACTTGCATAATACAGTACGTCAATATATCATATTACATATACAGTATCATGTTTACAATTATGATAAAACCCCCAGAATGCATTCCTGCTAACCTGGAGAAAGTGAGGCCGGCAATGAGTAAGCACACACACACACACACACACATAAATGAGGCAAATGAGGTCACAGAAACACAAACGCACACATGCATGGAAATACTTCTTTCTACACGACTGCACAGCTGGCCAGCAAAGGGATCTGTGCTTCCCACATTTGTGCACTATCATGAATGTGCTCGGGGAGTGGAACAGCGAGTTTAGCGCACCTTTCAAAACAAAGCCAGGAATACACTAACAGCGCACTTCTCTCACTCGCGCCATGGGTAAAGATAAACTGTCATAACACCCCCGAGCAGATCAAAGATGTGATAAGGAGCGTATTGAGCTGAAGATGTGGTGTGTGTCTAGAACCAGAGGGGGGGGGGGGGGGGGCGCTTTTGGGAAAACGTAAGGCATTTCGCCAGTGGAGGCCAACAGAGGGGATGGAGAGAAAGTGAGCAGGGGGGCAGTCAAAATCTGATAAGAGGCAAAACAAATCGAGGTAAAGACTGGGTGAAAGAGCAAGAGGAATTTCGGGTGCACAGAGAAAAGACGCAGAAGATGGAACTTAAACAGTAGTGCGCTCTGGTAGGGAAGACGACAAGTGAAAGAGAGCCTGACTGATGATACATCACCGCCAATGTAACAGCAAGAAACTGAACTACAGAAATGTCAAAGATATGCTTGAGGTCAATTAGAAACAGCGTCACTAGTACATACTGTGTCCACCAGAGAGCACTGACAAGTACATTTTCTACTGTAAAATGAACCATTAGTACATATCTAGGTCATAATTGTTGACAAAATTAAAATGTTAAAAAAATCCTAGCAAAAATGTTTATGCTTTAAAAAAAATCCAAATAAGCCTATATATTTTTATCAGATTTTTAAAAACCTCAAGGTTATAATCGTTACGATTTTTATGAAATCAAACTATTTATGATCCGTATTTTTCAGTAAAAGCCAATCAATGTATTCACATTCAGCTATTTCCTCTCTATACAGACGTCTTCATTGTTAGTGACGCCCTTTCCGCACTGGATTTAAATGACCTACCCACACACGAGCGATTCACAGGAAACTATGTAGCATGTAATCCAGTGTGTATGTTTTTAATTTCCTCTGATTGATATCAGCCTTACCGTTCACTCTCTTAACCCTAACTATAATCTAACATTTCCTACTGCGGCTGCTTCACATTAGAAGCGTTCAACTAGTCACATAAAACACAATGTGTTTGTCACAGAGGTTAGCGCTGACTGCTATTGTTCATCATCAAAATGTGCCTTTAAAGTGGGAGACGCACATTTTCAGCATTTTTGAAAGCAGGTCAGTTTTATGATTGACTGATCTCTTTATCGAAACCATGTGAGTTTGTTTGGCTGCACTTTAAACAGATACACCGGCTGCTCTTCTGTGATGTTTGTGACAGAATAGCTGCTCAAGGAGTGTTTCTTGTAGTAGTAAACCACAAACACGTAACCAGGTGTAACACCCTCTTCGGCATACAAGGTAAAGAAGCCGTGAAGGTAAACAGGAGGAGGAATTCAGTGAGGTACTTGTGTTACACCAGATAACGGAATCCCTCTCCCATCACACATTTCACTCTGCCGCCAAATTCACTCTGCAATACTTAACCTCTGTCCATCCAAACTCCTCTATCTCTTTCTTCATGCAAATCCCTCACTCTCTCAAGCCTGCCTGCAGCTTCACAGTAGCAGCTACATTGTTGAGACAAATAAACATTTTCTTGCCCCAAATTATGTTGGCAGCGGATATTTCTGCACCTAGGGCTGGGCAATAAAACAAAGATGATAATTATCGCAATATAATTTTCCTCAATAACAATATAATAAATGCTCAATATATCGTCAATAAATATTTGCTTTAATTCATTTGAATCACAAACAAATTGGCACCTAATTTTTCTATTAAAATATTTATTTTGTTGAAGAAAGAGGCCTGAAAAAAGATTAACTAATCATATTTGTTGAAAAAGATAATAGCTTTGAATGTTCTAACTCAGATTTGTGAAGTGATCCACTGTTTGGCCTCAAGTGTTTGTCACATTCTGACCATAAAGGAAAGTTTAACCACATAAATAACCACCTGGTTTCTTCAATTTTCACTCAGGAGCAAAAATCTGCCTTTAAACTTGAAAGAAATAATGATTTGACATTTATTGTGATAATTATTGATATCGAATGATATGAAATGTTTCCATCGTGATAAAATTTTTGGCCACATCACCCAGCCCTATCTGCACCTACAACATATCCCTAAAATCTCAAACCATTTTATTTGTCTACAAGGGCTAAAACTCAGGGATGCACTGGATGCATCTCAAGTCCAGAAAGCAATAAAAAACATTCCTGGCCGACATGACAGCCTGTGTCTCTCCTCTGTAGGTCCTGCCTACTATCTGATAGAAGTGAGCGCTGCCATCTTGGCAGGGAAGGCAGCATTTTTGCTTGCTGAAAAGCTTTGCGTGAGTGTATCAACGCCAAAACCTTTCATCAGGAACAAGCTTCTGTCTCTGAACTGTCAACTGTTCAGGGGCTACAAAAGAACAGGCTTGATTTTAGAATAAAGAGTCTTTCCAACCAACACTTGAAAAGAGTTTCATAAATCCATGTGTTGCAAGAGTTTGGAGGTAAAATCTGGAGGCTTTCACTGTTAAAGAGGTCATTTGCATGCATGTCTATGCTCCTCTGTGTTCATGCACATGTGTTACGTTTTCTCTTAAGGAGTGGAATCCCCTCAAAACTGTTTTAGATACATTGAAATGTGAGCACTGAAAAAACGCTTTTCAGGTTCTTATTCTTGGTTACTTATTCTTTGATCTTTGATACTGATTTAAACCTGCATTAATTAAAGTTTTTGAGCACTTGGGGGCAGCGCAACATTGACATATTACCTTATAAAGTTCATATGGCTAACATTTAAGCAAACAGTTCATTATTTACACACCCAGCAGACACAGAGCAACATTATCGTTCACTTGGAGTCGTGTTTCTTTCCACACCAATGACAATGTGCAATCTTTCTCCTTTTAGCCCTGTTTTGTTCTCCACCAACACCTGAAGGAGTAATCTTGCTCTTTAGCTGTTAAATGCTCCGCTATGTTCACCAGCTAGTTACTAACTTTGTTTGGTGCTGAGCGTACAGTGGGTCTATCAGAGCTTTGTCACCGGAAAACAGCTGCCTGCAGCTGGAAACAATGTTTAGAGCGGTGAAACTGAACCAAAACAGTACCTGCGGACTGTAAATCCAAAACAATGACCTGAAAGATGCTGAAGTTTTATTTAAAGCTGAGAGGAAGTGCAGAGGTGGTGGATAATTCTCTGTGGGTATGTCACTATGAGTGACTGCTTTCACATTACACACAGTAATTTAATCCATTGTTAATATAAAAATATTGATAAGAGCAGCTTTAAGTTGTGATATACTAATTCCAGACTGTGTCATATTTAGGAAAAAATCTTGTTGCTTTGTGATAAAATTAAACATTGGAGAAGATGCATTTGAGAAGTTTTGCTTATTTTGCAAAACAGAATTTTTTCCCCTCAAAGTAAGGTATCTAAAAGTATCATATTGACACGATTATCAGAAAATTCCCTATACCTAGTTTTGATAAAATTGGCAGTGTACCATTTACATCAACACATTTAAAAATTAAAAAATAAAAATAAAAAAAAAAAATAATAATAATAATACACACATACAGCATTTCTCAACCTACACACATTCAGTTTAGTTCTCATTGCAGGCCGCACCGCTAACATACTATGCCGGTCTTTATGTCTAAGCTTAAAGGGAAATATCACTCACTTTTAGCTTAAAAACACTCTTGGACTGTGTAACCAATTGTTCACTTCTCTCCCTCCCAGAAAACAAGGCAGAGGAGTTTGTCCTGCTTTGTAGTCTGGGATGTCACACTGATGTACA